GCCTTCGCCTGTTTGACGTGCTCGGGCTCCGAGGGATTCGCGCGCTCCTGGTGACCGCGGTATCGCGCCTGGAGCTTCGCCGAGGCCGCGTCCTTCTCGGCCTTGACGTGCTCGGGCTCCGACGGGTTCGCGCGCTCCTGGTGGCCGCGGATCCGCGCCTGGAGCTTCGCCGTGGCCTCCTCCTTCTCCTGTTTGACGTGCTCGGGCTCCGACGGGTTCGCTCGCTCCTGATGGCCGCGCGTGCGGGCCTGGAGCTTGGCCACGGCGGCGTCCTTCTCCGCCTGCTCCGCCTTCGCCTGTTTGACGTGCTCGGGCTCCGAGGGATTCGCGCGTTCCTGGTGACCGCGGTATCGCGCCTGGAGCTTCGCCGAGGCCGCGTCCTTCTCGGCCTTGACGTGCTCGGGCTCCGACGGATTCGCCCGCTCCTGATGGCCGCGCGTGCGGGCCTGGAGCTTGGCCACGGCGGCGTCCTTCTCCGCCTGCTCCGCCTTCGCCTGCTTCACGTGCTCCGGCTCCGAGGGATTGGCCCGCTCGTTGTGGCCGCGGATGCGCGCCTGGAGCTTCGACGCGGCCGCGCTCTGGTCCGCGTCCGGCTCGGGCGCGGGCTCGGGCTTGGCCGCCTTCTCGGGCCGCGGCTTCGGGTTCGTCCGCTCGTTGTGTCCTCGGATGCGCGCCTGGAGCCTCGACGCCGCCTCGTCGTCGCCGCTCAGGAAGGAGACGCGGTCCTTGCGGCCCTGCGACGTCGCCTTCGTCGACTCCTGGCGCGTCATCTTCGCCGGCCGGGGCTTCGGGTTCGTCCGCTCGTTCTTGCCGCGGATGCGCGCCTGGAGCTTCGCGGCGGACTTGTCCTGCTTCACGTGCTCGGGCTCCGACGGGTTCGCGCGCTCCTTGTGGCCGCGGTACCGCGCCTGGAGCTTCGCCGACGCCGCGTCCTTTTCCGCCTTGACGTGCGCCGGCTCGGAGGGGTTCGTCCGCTCGTTCTTGCCGCGGATGCGCGCCTGGAGCTTCGCGGCGGACTTGTCCTGCTTCACGTGCTCGGGCTCCGACGGGTTCGCGCGCTCCTTGTGGCCGCGGTACCGCGCCTGGAGCTTCGCCGACGCCGCGTCCTTT